TTTTTTTTTTTTTTTTAAAGTTAAATCAAGTTCTGTATACAAACTGCCTCTAAAAACATCAAAGATTCCTTTTCCTAGTTAAGCCTCTCAAAATATATATAAAAATTGTGTTTTAGGAATTTGATCTTTTATTATAAGATATGTAACTTACTATTAACTCTAGTAAATAGATATATTTTATTAAAATAAACATCTGTGTATGAATTGTAGATGCTTAGTCTCTACAAAAATTATAGCAATTTTCCTATTCTGTCAATAACAAAGGCACTTAAGTAATCAGGATGAGATATGTATCATGCTTCAGCTATTTCATCTTGTTGGAATTTAGTATCTGTTATCAGGTTCACATGCTCTGGCATAATGTAAAGATAGTATATCTTTCACAATTCTTTTTTTATTTTATACATGTTACTTATATAACAATCTACTGTACATAATCCTTCAGCCATGATATGTGTGTGTGTGTGTGTGTGTATGTGTGTAATTTCAAGTAACTGAACTGCATTTTGGGGATCCCTCAGTTAACTCAATCTTCTCTTAAGGAATGCATTTAAGTTATTTGGTTCAGATTATGTTGCATGAACAATGAAACCTGCAGGCTAGGGATTAAAAATATGAAAAACTAAATAAAATATTAAGCAAGAACTGTATCACGTAAAGTGATTATTTGGACTATTTGGAGAGAACTACTTTATGAGTATTTTTTAAAGTAAATTTAACCACAGTTTTTACCCTTTCTAATCATGTTGCATTGAAGTTCTCTTCTTCATCTCTAGAAAATCTCCTAAACCTAAAAATGCTGGAAGTGGAAGGATCATAGGTGTGTGTAGTTCAGCCTTCTTGTTTCACAGATAGGTAAACTGAGGCCCAGAAATGGAAAGCCACATGACCCACATCACAGAGCTGGCAAGTGGCAAAGGTCGAACCAGAATCCATGCCGCCTTATTCCACTCCAGTAGTCTCCTCACTATTTCAGGCCATCTGCTTTAGGAAAGGACATGGACAATGTGCTGAATGAGTCAGGATCATGCCAGTTCCCCACAGGGACAACCCATGTTCTGGTCTGCAATTGAGCACAGCCTCCTTTCCTCCTCCTCATAAGAATGGCATCAACCAGGTACCTTGTTATACTGTAGGCTGGAATACTTAGTCCCACAGCCAGTGACCTGAGCCAGAGTTGTCTTTATTAAAGTTTAAAGCAAAGCCATTAAAGAGTAAGCAGAGGCATAAAGTATAGAAACCCATCAATGTCCTACTAACAACTGGGACCAGCTCTTCAAATGCCTGGTCTACTCCAACCTCTCCTTTCTAAAATGCCTCTCTTACCGTCCAGCCATGGATCACCACGAAGGTTTTGCTGCTGTGGTTGAAGTGGCAGTTAGCTACAGACTCTGCCACTCCGGGAATGAGATGACAAGTGTCTTCAACTGTATCTTCAGGGGTCCTAAGGGCAAATTTACTTTCAATGTCTCTAAAATCTCTTCCTCCTGTAATTCCTGAAAGGGAAAATTGGATAAGAGGTTAACTATAAGATTATTTTGCCTTTGTTTTCTTGAATGTTATGTTTTAGATTCATAAACAGCCACCACCAATGATGTATTTGTTAAAATTTTATTTATGTTGTTATTGTTGCTGTTGAGAATATACACAGCAAAACAAACACCAATTCAGTACAATTCAATAGTTGCTACATGTCTGATTCGGTGGCATTGATCATATCGATGTTGTGCAGCCATTCTCATCCTCCTTTTCTCAGTTGTTCCTCCTCCATTAGCATAACTTTACTGCTCTCTAAATTTCCTATCTAATCTTATGAGTGAAAACAAAACAAACACCACCATTGAGTTGATTCCTACTCACAGACTGCCTCATCTTTTTTCCCACGAGCAGCTGGTGGGTTTGAACTGCCAACCTTTTGGTTAGCAGCCAACCACCCATCACCCGAGCTCCTTAAACTTATGAGTGGCTATTGCCCGTTTGACCCCATATCAACAGATCTTAAGAGACCACAATGCTCAAGGTACACATTCCAAAGTAGTTCAGCTAAACTATTGTTTGGTTTTAAGACTTCAGGAGATCACCAATGGTATTTTGTGGTTCTTAAGTGTTTAGAAATTGATGTGGATTGAAAAGAGCAGCTGATCCTCTAGTGGTGATCACAGCTGGCTGAGATGATCTTAAGATAATTGTGTTAAGCAACATCGGTCTCTCCTTCCAGCCTCTTCTCTGGCTCTCTCTGTCAGAATGTGTGTTTGTCTTTGTGTATATGTGGGTTGAAGTACACACATACACACATACAATTTCAATAACTGAACTGCTACTTGAGGATCCCTGAGTCAACTCAATTTTCCTTCAAGGCATCAATTTAAGTGTTTTTGCCCAGGTTATGTTGCTAATAGTGGAAAAGAAAGTGGGTGCCAGAACCCAGGTCTCTTGGTTCTAGTTCAAAGTTCCTTCTTCTAGAGAACATTGGGTCATGGCTCTCCTGTTGCATAGATGCATTTATTTAATATGTTATTTCACACTCTTTAGATCTCTAATTATATCAAAAGGAACATCTTCCTATAATATCCAATTAGGCTTCTTTGGGGAAAGCCTGTTCCCTGTTCACTCTTGTAATTTAAAAAATATTAACCTTGAGCAACGTGGAAGCTTGAGGAGGTTTGTGTATGGCATTCTTCTTACCCCATGACAAGATACATCAGTTCTCAATGATATTTCAAGAAATGATTAAGAAATAATACCTGTGCTGTGTATGTGGTATGGTTAATTTTTTCCCCAAATATTATTTTTCCTTTTATGTTATTATAGCCTTTCACACAAAAGCAAAGCTTAAAAAAACTACAGCAAAGCTGTTTTTTGAATACGCCCATTTTGGGTCATCATGTTTATTCCAAATTAAGTAAAGGGAGAAAGACAACCTTAGCCTGTCTTTTGAATCTCTGTGTAATAAATCTCAATGCTGCTAAATCATCACAGGGTACTTTAGATAACACCTGTAATATCACAGTGAATATTTCAAGTGAATTATATCATAAATAAAATCAGACTCTTCAAAAAGCACAGCACAGTCCAAAGGAATTACATTTGGGGAAATTATTAAATTCCTTGGTAAGTAAAAAACAAAACGATGTATTTACTAGAAGAAGGCAATAACTTGTAGATTTTAGATTTACCTATATAGGAGCTCTGGTAGCATAGTGCCTAA